ATGGAAAGGATGGACTCATTATTGAGATGATTTTAATAGCATATTAAATGAGCTTGTTCTTGAAGGTCATTCATGATGAAATAACTGTTGTAGAAGATGTTAGCAATTGTTCAGACATTTTGAAGCGAATAGATGATATAAGAAAGAAGTTTATGAATGAGAATGTTTATGTTTCATTGACTTTCTCCAGTAACGAGAACTTTTATGAGATAATATTGAAGAGAGATGATTTTAATATGGTGTAAATGGTAGCTTGGGCAGCTTTAGGCGCAATGGGAACAAAAGCATTAGCATTTGGAGCAAAAGCACTTGGAGCTTATGACGCAGTAAATAAAATGAGTGGAGGAAGAGTTTCGAAGACATTAGATGCAAATAAAGGAAAGATTGGAGGCTGGGTTGCAAAGAAGTTAAGATTAAATAAAATAGGACTCATAAATAAAGCATCCAATTTGGTTGCGACTGAGTCAGAAAATGCTTTAGGAAAGGACGATGAGTTTGCAAAACACGCAAAAGACTTTAATGACCAGATGAAAGGTGAAACAATGCATTTAAATAGAGTCGATGGAACTCTTCCTCCACCAGTAGTTCTTCCGTATGGTCCCTATGGAATGTATGGAAACCCTTACGAAAGACCATTTGACCCATTGACTGGTGGAAGTAACTGGTATCATTACGGACGAAGAAGAAAGACAGTCAAGTTGGAGACAGACGTGAAGAAAGCAACTAAAAAGAAACCAAGGAAGAGAGTTATAAAGCAATGAATTCAAGTGGGTGAAAAAAGAGGTGAAAAAAGAGGTGAGATCTCACCACTTCACCTAAATTTATTTTTGTGCTATGTTTTCATACGTGTGAGGGTGGTGATATCATTAATTTTTAAGTTTATTTTTTATTTTACTGAAAATTTTTATTTGGATGTAAATGACAGAACAAAAGCAACTCATACAAATCGAAAAATATAACAAACATACATTTAAACATTTATTCTTCCTTCCTGAGCATAACATGTTCTTTCAAATACATCCGAGACCAGTTGACTTTTCATTGACTGTGTATAAAGATAGAAATAGTTATATCATTAAACCATACGATGACGAAGGTAAGTTATGTAAATTGTACGTTAAGAAGTTAGAGAAAGTTTATGGCTTCAAGTATGACTACAATAGGGTTAACACTGATGATGAAGATATTGAGGAAAATTTATGAGAACATTAGTGAAGTCGTTAGTGAGAATGATAGTGAGAACGTTTATTTTTACATTAGTGAGCTCGTTAGTGAAGTGAAGTGGGTGGCTTTGTAAAGTGTCAAATTCACAAGTATTGGGTAAGGTGGAACGCAGTGCCACCGTACCCAAGACTTGTATACTAACTCAGGTTCACCTTCAGATGATACATTTGAATCTTTAAAGCATTTAATCAAAATTCCAATTATTTATTTATCACAAGAAGAAGCAGAAGATTATTTAAAAAACTTTTAATGTATAAAGAATTATATAATACAATCAAGAAGCAAGGATTAGAGGATAAAATTATTGATAAACAACGGGATGAATTATTTGAAACACTTTCCATTTCAAATTTTGATAGAGAATTTTTGCATTCACTCATTTTTCTAGATGATGCAGTGAAATCAAAACTAATAACAAACGAGAAATCATATTTTAATCAGTTATTAACTCAATGTCGACACATTCAGTGTTCATTCTTTATGGCTGTTCAATATTTCAAAGCATTAAGCACAAACATTAAATCAAATCTATCAACACTTTTCATTTTCAGTGGGTTTAGTCGTCAACAGTTGAATGTTATGCTTTATCAAGTGAATTTACCAATGAGCATTAATGAACTTTACACACAATATCAGCAATTAGGTGAACATGGAAAAATAATAGTTGATTTAAATAAAGGAGGTGTTAAATTTGATTAACTTTTTATAATTAATTTTTATTTTTTATTTATAATTAAACATGACAGAAATAGCAAATCTTCTACAGGTTCCATTAAAACAAGGGACAAACAAAAGGGGTGCATATAATAGAACTATGAAAGTTCCTGATGGAATGAAAGAATTAGTTCATATTGTTGCTGGTCTTCAAAAAGATGTTAAACAAATGAGAAACGTTTTAACATTACCAGAAGCTCAAGCATATGCCAAACGTCATGGTCCAAATTGGGAAGCACACGAAGCAGACATTACGGGTCCAAATGGAAAACCTGATGGTATAAATGAAGTTTTCGTTACTGATGGTCAAGGTAATATTAAAGTCATAAATGGTTATAAATTAACTATATCTGATTATCCTAAACGTAAAGCATATAATGAACGTTATCCTATGCAATTTGATGAAAATGGAAAAGCTGTTAAACAATACATTGGAGAAGGTGAAAATGGTCCAATTAATTCATACCGTCATAATCCATATTCTTATTTCAATGAAGAATTAAATGCTATTGAAGAGGGACCGGATGGATTACCACGATATTCTAACCAGTTTGATGGTCAATATGCAAATATTAGATCCGAAATTTCAGCTAAGAAATTCTTTAAAGTTGCTTTATTTGATCCAGTTTTCGCAAATGTTAAAGATGAACTTAAACAGCAATTTCAACCAATTATAGTAGCAAGAATTGCATCAGGTGCTTTATCTCAAGCATTCAAAGATTTAATTAAGAAACCATTATATCAGCAACGAGGTTTAACTTATGATTTAGTTAAGGAATCAGATAAAAGAAAATTGAGAAATCAGATGATTATAAGAACGCAATTAATGAATATATTCGGTCTATTAATTACGATGAAACAGCTAAAAATCAACTTCATGAACAAATACAGGGAATAATAGATTCAAAAGTTCCAGCAAAATAAAAGTTTAAATATATTTTTTTATTCGAATATAAATGAGAAGACGTTTCACTAGTCAAAAGAACACTAACGCAAAAGCAGAGATTACGGTTGGTTATAACGTAAATGATGATAAATCACGAATTATTCAAAATGTTAAAGTTAATGTTAGCCCTGAATTAACAAGGTCAGCAACTCAACCAAATTTATTAACTCGTGACTTACCGAAGAATGAGGAGAATGACGAAAACCATGAGAATGGAGACCCAATCATTTTATCTGAACCCGGTAAAGAACCTGTTGAGATTCCCACTTATCCAACATACCCACCACCTCTTTCATCAAACATCGAGAACCCATATAAAATAGACATTAATTCTGAATTAATGAAAATTTACCGTGATATAATAATTAATAATTATGATTCAATAATAAATTTAATTGATCAATCTGGTTTAATTATTTTACCTTATGAATCATTAATTCACATTATCGCCATTCTTTGTGATGTTCAAGATTCAGACGTTAAGATTCAATTTTTCATAGATGATGAGGTTTCATGCTGCGGAACAGTTGCAAAAATAAATCTTATAAAGGATATTAGCACAATTAAGATAACAAAGAATGGAACAACAACTGAACTTCATTTAACATATAATGATATTTATAATAAAATAGTTGATGAATATAAAATATCACTTGAAAAATTCTTTGTTAAGGCTATTTAATATTCAAGCATTAACATTATCGAATAATAATCCTTTGAATCATAATCAATAATAATTGACCTTTCACCAGTTTCTATCGTTTGTTTTATTTCTTTTTGTTCCCCACTATCCGGATCGGTCATTGTAATTGTTTTTGTTATAGTATCAGCTTTATCTTTAACTTCAATCTTTTTTCCATCGGGATATTTAAACCAAAATTCCAAAAATTTGATATTGTCAATCTGTTCATATTTTAATCTATCAATTACATTTTTAATACCATCTGAAAATCTTATGAAATGGTCATTATATGGGTTTGATTGAACTAAATTTGAATGAAGTGAAATATAACCTGTTGATGAATATGACACTGACTCATATTTTCTGAAAACACTAAAATTTATAACATGAATGAATTTCTTATTCGTTGAATTTATGAATTCTTGAGGTAATCTTATTCTAGTTTTATTTATCACTGGAAAATAACGCTTTACCATATTTTTAATCGTAATAAAAATGTCAATTATCAATATTATTTCGAATAATAACTGTGAATTAAATTTAACAGTTAGCGGAATTTATAATGTTACTCTCGTTTCTGTGAGTGGTAAATTTAATCCCATTCTTTTAGACCCTTCAGATTATATATCATTTATTAAAGATGACCATGAAAAAACGTATGATATGTATATAAATAATGTGATAGCGAAATGGGATATTAACACGATTTTAAGTTATTTAAATGAATCATTTATCGTATGGTATGAAGAAAATTTTAAATCAAAACCCGATAAACTTTTTGAACTTGATGAAATAAATAACCTTATTAAATTCCCGCTGAAAATTAAATTTTGTACTCCTCATCTTCGTTCATTGTTGGGGATATTAAATTTTGAAAAAGATGTTGGGGATGTTTTGTATTCTGACACTGGTTCCAATTTCATTTTAATCAAATGTGATAAAGTTAATACCCCAATGAGATTTTCACATCAAACATTAGACCCTAACTCTTACCCATCAATACAAAACATTTTATCCATCAACTTAAACACATTTTCTTTATCATATCCGTTTCAATTATCCGGGAATTCATTTATTCTTCATTCAAAAGATTTATCAAATATTAAATTTAGAATAACTGACCTATTTGATTGTGATTTAGAATTTATGAATGAAATATTATGGCAATTTCAAATAGAGAAAATAGCTGATGAGATAACGGATTAAATATTTATTTTTAAATCGTAATAAATGATTAAACAACAGCAACTTAAGGCGCAAAGCGCCCAGGTCCTTCAGACCATTACATACGCCACATATGCATATAATTCAAAGACGGCAGAACAAACGCAAAGGTTGAAATATGGAGATTTGGAGATAGTATTGAAAAATGACCATTTCAAATTCGTTTGCAAAGGTGGTGCAGTGATATCAAATATAAAAGAAATTTTATTTATGAATTCAAAAATTAAAGGAATAACGGATGATATAACATCAATTCCACCAGAAGAACAGAGATATTACGCATTAAATGCATTTCCTAAAGTTTTGAAGATTGGAAGATTTAATTTAAATGAGGAATTCATAGAAGGTTTCCTAAATGACATAATGAAGAAAGCATATTTAGTTTATGTGGATAGTGAGTTAAATAAGAAGGTAGATAAGGAATATGTGGATAGTGAGTTAAATAAGAAGGCAAATTTGGTTTATGTTGATGAAAAAGATAATGAAATTAAAGAAAGGGTTGAATGGTATCATGAATGGACATTTGAGACTTTTAAAGGTAAAGCTGATACAGGATGGGGTTCAGGATGTTTAGACCTTAAAGCAGATAAAACTTATGTTAACGATGAGTTAGAGAAGAAGGCGGATAAGGAAAAAGTTATTTCATTCATTAATACTGAGTTAGCAAAGAAAGCTGATATATCATTTGTTAATGAAGAAATAAAACAATCAGAGGTCTATTTTACTCCACCATTTTTAAATTTTATGAAATCATCAGATAAAACCTTTGATATAGATTCTTTTGAATGGATATGTTTCGATGGAGTGACCATGTATTTATTTTATACAGCTGGAGTGCTTTATTATTTTAAAACAAATGATTTTAAAAACTATGAATCATTTACTCCATCTGTTTTGAATCCTGATACACGAAAGCCAATCATTAATCCAAGAATTTTATATGTTGAATATAATAACGGTAAATTTATGGGAATGATAATGGTTGAAGATGATTTTTACCCTTGTTATTCATTCGATTGTATCCAATGGTTCAAATGTAATTTAAATCAAGATGCTAAATTTAAATATCCAAATAATCCTATTAGATGCGTTAATAATAAATGGGTACTAATTTATGAAGTCAATCAAATTTTCATTAGTGAGGATGGGATAAATTATTATATGTTTAGTATGATGTCATCAGATTTGGAAATTGATTATACAAGTAAGTGGTATTACATTAACAACATGTATTTTATCCTACAAAATGATAAAATTTATAGATCATCTTCAATACCACAAGGTCAATTTGAACAAATTTTTTCAAGCTGATGGAGACATTGAAGCTTTATGTTATGGATCAAATGTTTATGTTCTCGTTTCAGGTGAAATGGTCTATTCATATCCTGTAAGTTATAACAGACATATTTATTTATCACAGGATTTATCAAATTGGGAATTGATTTATTCATTCACTCCAAAACTTACTCGAAATTATAGATTTACTAATTTATTTTATATTGATGGGTATTTCATTGCTTTAGGATGTGGTGATTTAGTAAACATCAGTAGTGATGGAAGAAACTGGTCTGAAATCACAAAATTTCAAGATGTTAGAAAAGCAATTTTCAAAAATAATATGTTAATATTGATAACAAGACCAGTTTTAAATACTCACCCAAATTCAATATTATATAATAAATTCAATATTCATAATGGATTAAATACAATTCTTGAGATGATTTACCCCATTGGTTCAATATATACATCAATGAACTCAACAAATCCAGAAACAGTTTTAGGTTTTGGTACTTGGGAACAGATTGTAGACAAATTCTTATACTGTGCTAACTCTTCAAAACAAACAGGGGGTTCGAAGAAAATTAAAGAAGCAAACCTTCCACCACACACTCATACAGGAACTACAAACTTTTCTGGCGACCATAGTCACTCATTAAGAGACCACCCATTATACAACTCAGAGTATGAAGCTGGTCATGACGTTTTATCTCCATCTTATAACGATTCAACAAAAAAGACTTTTCGACAAACTGAACCGGGAGGAAATCATTCACACGCTTTCACAACAAATCCAACAGGCTCGGGTGAAGATTATATGCCACCATTTATGACTGTATTCGCATGGTATAGAGTTCAATGAACGCTCAATGTTTGTGAAACAAACTTTAGAACGGACTGAAAGTCCTGAGCTCCAAAAGAGCGAACGGCATAATTTAAATTTTTATTTTAGTATAAATGAAGATTCTACCATATGGTGTTATTGGAAGAGATAAAGATGGAAACCCAATATTTGATCCAAAGTTAAAATTAAAGTTACTGACAAGACAACAACTTGAAAAGTTGCTGAAACCAAAACAGGATGAAAAATGAGAAAATGAGAAAATGAGAAAATGAGAAAATGAGAAAGAAAAAAATTTAAATTATGCAATTTTAATTTTATCATAAATGACAAAATTAATTAAGCCAACTATTTCTAAATTAATGATACCAATGAAATCATTTCATGGAGTACTTATCCCAGGTTCTTCACAATTAGCCGGGGCAAGTGTTGTGACTCAAGGTGGAACATTAGCGAATCCATTCAAATTATTAACTAAAGATGAACTTAATAAAATGATGATAAAATAACTGATAACAAAATTTTATTTTTATATAAATGGATACCCCACAAGCTCAAAATTTACCACGAATCATAACAAGGGAGGAAATGATAAAAATGATGTAAGAACAAATTAAAAACAACAAACCACGAAAACCGAGAAGATGTGGTTATGTAGTAATGATGGAAAGAAGATGAGGAATAAAAATTAAATTTGGATTGAGTTTAAAAATTCATCTTTATTAAATTCATCTCTTCCAATCAATTTATTTATTCTATTAAATTCTTTTATTTTTGCTTCACTCAGTTTAAAGATTGAACGGTAAGTTTCTAATTTTTTGATTATTTCTTTCCTCTCTTTATCGTTTTCAGCCCCACCGCATTGCGGCTTCTTTTTGTAATAGCATATTTTTGATTTAATTCTGTTTAGTTTCTTTTTATATTCATCGTCTGGACTCTGAATCTTAATTGAATCAGGACTCTTGGATGCTTTGTTGTCACCCATTTCTTACGAAATAAAAAAATTAAATATTATTTAAATATAATGGAGTAATAAAATAAATCGGAATTTCTATTAATTTATTGTCAACTTCAACTAATACATTACCGTTAATATATCTAACAAATTCAGCTATTGTGTCAAATCTTCGTCTTCTTTTTGTCATTGATTTATCAGTTTTTCCATAATCGAGATGAATCAAAACTTTATCCCCTTGTTTAAAATTCATGAGCCCCGAATTAATTTGTTCACGTTTAACATCATTTAACCTTTCCATTTGCTTTCTAATATATTCCCATTCTTTTGAAATATCATTTTTCATTTCCACTGGTTTCATGTTTATAGTTCTATGCCATGTATTATTGTAATAATATACTAACTGCTGTATGATGGAGTCATGATTTCCATCCCAGTATATCTGACCGTTAACCCCTAACGCATCTCTAAGAGTTCTCATTACCGCATCAACTATTTTATTATGAAACGTATATGGAGAGGATGAAAAGTAAAAATTAATTTGTGGGAAATAATGAGTTATAGCTGCCTGAAATCCTTTATCACCATCACCCCTGATATTATCTACTCTTTCATGATCTAGTAAGTATTGAATAGCTCTTCTTGTTTCCTGTTCTGTTTTCCCTTTCACCGGAATGCAATATAAATATCTAGTGTTAATGTTAATGGCAAATAAATAAGTAACGTTTCCTTTTGAATATTCCAGATGATCGATTTCGTATGAATATGGATATGGAGCAAATGAAGGTCGACTAAATTTTTCCTTTAACGGTTGAATTTTTGGGTCAATTGGTTTATTTAATATCTTGAAATCCTTTTTAAAATCTTTTTGCTTCTTTAATGTTTGAAATGGATATAATAAAGTGACTGATGAAGGATTAACTGAAGGAGGAGGAGGTACAACTGTTGGAGGTTTTGGTATTGCAAGTGATTTAATTTTATCTGCTTTGATTTTGGATGATGAAGTTTTGGATTTCATTCCTCCTTTCATTAATTCTGGATGTATTCTATTCATTTGTTTTAAATATGCTGTATATAAAGGTTTGATATACTTTCCCGCTTCGAGTTTATGTTGAAGGATGAATTCCAAAAGTTGATCTTCATTTAAAAGTCGGGCTGAATATGGTTTAACTAATGAATCATAAATTAAAGCTTGTGCATCATTTATGGTCTGAAGGACCTGGGCGTTTTGCACCTTTAGCTGTTGAACATTTGCTACTTTCTCTTTTGGTGTTGTTTTCGGCTTTTTCTTCTTTGGCTTTTGTTCCTTTGGCTTTTGCGGCTCGGGATTATATAATTTATATAATTCATCAATATCTTCTTCTGTTAATACTTTATTTTTGAAATCTTTCAATTGTTTAAATTGTGATTTAGTTTTTCCCTTTGTATATTCATTATTTTTAATTTTGTCTTTAATTTTAGAAATTATTTTATCATGATATTTCAAAATTTCATTTTTATAATACTGATAATAATAATCCATATCATCACCCGTTATATTGTTATTATGTTTTTGGAGATATGCTTTTAAATCGTAATAATCAAGAAAATTTTGATTAAATACTAAATCATCAATTAAAATTTCTAAATCTACATTATCCATTTATATAAAAATAAAATAAATGTTTTAGGGGTGCCCACCTCTTTGAATCATAGTATCAAAACCATTATTTACATATTGAATCACATCATTAACGGTTCCTTTTGTCTCTTCTGTGGCATTTTATTAAAAATAAAATTTTAAATTCACGACTCAACCCCTACGTTTTTAAATTGTATTAAATAAATGGCATACAACATCCATTTTCACAACATACAGCCTTAGTGTGTGCTCCTGTTAATGCAGTCTTACCGATTGTTAAGCGAGTCATTGACCCGTTTTTAAGTTGTAAATTAATATTCTGACCATCAAATATCACTTTATCATTTATTATATCCAAATAATTTTTAGGTGTTAATTGTTTATTTTGTCGTAAACTAACACCTTTCATTTTTTGTGCAATCTTTTTAAAATCACTTCCATCAATTGAACCGTTGAATGATGTATAACACTTGGGGCATAAAGCAACCATGTTATCACCTTGTTTCTCAATTGCTAAACCCAATAACTTCTTCTCATGTGCTTTTTCTTCAGCTTTATTCTTTAATTTAGGTTTAAATTTCTCATCAAAACAGAAGAAATCAAATGGTGCGAATTTGAAAATGTTTTTATCATAAAATTGTTTATCGGTTACAATTGCTTGAAATGCTTGAGTGTTAGGAAGATTTGGGTCGCCAGCAATAGCCCAATAAGATGAATCAGTATCACCTTCAATGAAATGAAAACGATTAACATTCATGCATTTATACATAAAATCATAAATGAAAACCAAATACCAGTATTTAGCATTATCTAAAGTGAAGAATGCCTCTTGTAAACATGTATCACATCTATAAAATCTATCTTTGAGCATCACTTGATACGTATCCTCTCCTATTTCTCTTATGTTTTTAAACTTATTTGACATACATGCAACGCGTGCCTTCTGTGCATTCATTATTTTAGTCTTTGCGTAATTTTGTGTATTCATTGCATCGTAACCATATGATCCATTAAGTGAAATCTTGCAAAATAAACTTTTTCCTTTATTTCCTTCTAATTCAGCCTTTTGTCTTTCGTTCATAAATTCGTTCGCAAATTCATTAAAACAAGTGTTTTTAGTAAATGTTAAAATTGATTGAATATCATCGATGATAAAATGAAATCTGTCTATTAGATACCAAAGATAATAAGAAGAAAATGGTTGATATTTGTTGTGTGTTGATGCTAACTGAGTTAATTTCCTCTGTTTCTAGTCAACTGGTAGATTGTTTGATTTCATGTAATTATACATAAAACTACCAATTGTTTTTTCATCTGTGATAATATCTAAGTTTCTTATTATCGGTAAAAAGTTTATGTAATCATTAATGTATTTTTCATCAATGTGACCCTTTACTTCAGCCACGAATAAAGTATTTTTCTTTCTAATAATTCCCAGTGCTTTTGCTTTCTTTGTTGCTGTATCATAAATGATAACACCATTCAATCTTCCCGGCATATACATTTTATGGTCAGTATATTGAATGAAATCATGAGGATTAGATGAAAATGATGAAGGATATAATGAATTAAAATCAACACCAACGAAATGAGTCATAATGTTGGTGGTGTCCTCATTTGATACAGTTTTAGTTTCTGGATTATATGCAAGTTTATTAATGCGCGTGATTCCTTTAAGATTTACTCTATGTTGAACATTTGATAGACCACCAGTAATTCCATTACGGAGAATGTGATAAGCTTCAACTGAATCTAAAGTCATTGGTAAATTATTTTTAATGCATAATTTCTTAAATTGATTCTTAAACGTTGAACATCTTCATCTTTATTTGATTTTACGACATTGCAATAACAACACATTAACTGACAATTTTCTTTGGTATGTGGTTTTTCATTATCGATTCTATCCAATGTTGGTTTATTTGCATATGTAAACGCTTTACCACACATTTTGCATTTAGATGAAAGGATTAAATCGTGATAGTATTGAAAATCATCCATTGAAACATTATTTTTAGTATCCCTTTCTGCTTTTTCATCTTGTTTCTTATATGATTCAATTTTATATTTCCAATACTTTTTCGTTAATTCAAAACTTGATTCTATCTCTTCCCAGGATATTTTTCATTAGGATTAAAGTCTTTATATGCTAAAGCGTAACGAATCATTGAAGCATTCGATGATAAAGAAAGATTATGAAGCGTGTCAATTTTATAAACAAATGTTTCTTCAATAATTTTATCGATTGGGTCAATCATAATTTCAACATCTTTATTGCAATAATGAATAAAATATTCTAATCTATTCTTAAAATTTTTAGCATCATTGAGATATATTTGATAATCACTATCTGATATAGTTTCTTGAGTTAATGCTGAATAAAATGAATCTTGAGTGAATGGTTCCACTTTATATAATTCTTCTTCGTAATTTTCCCACGTGATGAATTGATAAGGGAAAAAGGATTTAACACGTGATTTATTGTTTCCGAAATCTTGAGTGAATTGGTCTAATGTCCCACCCGCTATATAATTTCTGATGTCAATAAATCTCAATTCATATGGAACGTTTGTTTTCTTTACAATGATTTGCTTAAATTGTGAAGATGAACCCAGCATTGATTTTATTTTCCATTTTGCAGTGTTTAAATCACGAAGAATTAAATTTAAATCAAACTTTCCCGAATTAAAACCTATGATATTCACTTTATTGAATTCCTCATCTAGAAGTTCTTTAAATGCTTCCTTCTGTTTTTCATTTAATGTATGAGACAAAGTCCCCACCGTTTGCGGCTTCAATAATTCATTGTATTGTTCAATATTTGATTTAGCAACTAATGAACAGGTTGAAAATAAAAACTCAATCCAATCAGAAATAAAAGAATCACTCGAAGTTAAGCAAAAATTCCTCGTATATGTTTTATCATTTAATTTAACCGTTGATGATACCATGAATGGTTTTAAGTAAGCATTCAAAGTTGCACACTCAGAAAGTTGTAATTCTTCTTTAGTCTCTAATGTTTCAAAGTCAAAAGTAATATAATATCTTGTCGGTTTATAATATTTCTGCAAATTGTGAGCTAATAACCACTGATATATCTTCTGTTTCGTAATATGTGGTGCATATGGTTGCTGTGTCTTTTGCAACTGAACGTCTTGAATTAATCTTCCATTATTTTCTTTACATTTCTCACAATGCTTTAAAAATCTTCTTTGGTTTTTCCTTTCTGGATCATCGCGGATAGAATAAACTTCTTCTTTACAATATGGACAAACTTTATAGCCGGTGAGTGCTTCAACGTCTGTTATTCTGTCAGCGTGAAGTTTTCCACATGGACTCTGTGTTAATAAAATATTTACTGTTTCAAATTCTGGATCTATCATTATTGATTCCACTAATGGAAAGTCTACCTTATTTATGTCCACGTCTTCTGGTTGAGGATCACAATAATAGAAATCAATATTAACATTTAACATTCTCGCTAATCTCTCACTTTCTGATGAAATGTCAAACCCTTCATATGCATCTATTGCTTCATTTAAATAGCTTCTACGAGTTTTAGGATTAACACCATCAGGAATGTTATAGAAGCGTTTAAATAACCTTCTACCTTCTGCTCTAATTTGATTATCATTCATTTTAGCTGTTCCGTTTTTGTTCATTTATGTAAGAATAAAAAATTAAAAAATAAATAAAAATAAAGTTTATTTTTTAAAGCCCATAAAATGAATTAAGAACACATAAATTTTTATCATCTGCGACGTGACGAATACATTTTAATTTACTCAAGAATGCGTACCCTGATACATTAAATCTAATTCCTGTCTTATTTAATTTCACAACTTTGAAAAGGAATGTATGAATAGCTATAAAATGATGAGAAGATGTTTTATGGGTTGCTTCCGTTTTTTCTGAAATAAATGAATAAATATAATGCTTATACGTTTTCATATCTTTTATATTCTTAATAACGAATGGTATAGACCTTTCACTTCGTCTTCCTTCGGTGCTGTTCTTTCATATGAAACATTATTGGTATCTTCAATAATGAAACCACAATCACACAAAATTTTATAGGTTCCAATGGTTTCTTTTGATATTTTATCTAATAAATCAAAAACTTTATCAACACCCGTGCATTTATTTAAATAATAATTTGTGTAAATATCATGATCTTCTTTCTTAATCGTATTTGTTGCATATGTTACATTTTTCAGTGCTTTTTTGAATTTTTCAGAATCTAAAGGTGGTGAAAGTAGGATACAGGGGTATTCTTCATTATCAATAAATTGTAACTTATGTTTACGAATAAATTTAGTACCTTCTTCTGAAAGTGTTTCGTCTATTTCACCATCTAATAAATTTTGTGTTGATTCTGAGACATAATTTTTATATCTTTCTTCATGAGATTTCTGAACTTCTGATTCTGAAGCTGGGATATTCATTAAACCCTCTACTTCATTTTCATTATATTTTTCAACTTCTCTTAATTCCTTAATTTTTTCATCTATTTCATCTCTTATTTTTTCAGTCTTTCAATTTCATCGTATTCATCATCTTTAATTCGTTCTTCATAATATTCGGGAAAAACATCAGGTTCTTTAGGTTTTTCTTCTTCAGATGTGGGATATAAGAAATTTATAACATCATCTTTATTCATTTTTCCATCATAATCTAAATCATTTAATAACTCGGCAAATTTTTGACAATTTCTTAAATAATATTTATCAACTTCATAACCCACCTCCTCTAATATATCCTTTATTTCCTCGTTTGTGAATCCTAATTTTTTAACGTTGTTAGTTTTGACGCTCATTTCATACAAAATAAAAAATAAAATAATAAACATAACTAAGTTTTAATTTTTCGTAAGACATGAATTTTTAAAGTTTATTTTTTAAAAAAATTATTTTTTATTTCATTATGGTAGTTTATTTTTTATTCATGAAAATAATTATTTCTAATTTCTTTTACTCTCTCGTATATACTAGATTTAAAGAATTCAGAACATTTCCCATAATCTCCTAAATGTTTTCTTATCCCTAACGTGTGCCAGTTATTATATGAAACTGAATAAACTTTATCTTTATCTTTACACCTTTCATCACTTCCAATATATTTATATCTCAGTTTTGATTTAGCATTTTCATATTCATTAGCGTTTAATAATTCACAGTCTTCCTTTTTAAATTGATGTTTAAGATATTCAGGATTTAATACTCTACGTTTATATGCTCCTAACTTAGTTCTAAAGGTTTTTCTACAAAATTTAGGAATTCCATCCTCTTTAATGTCATCAATGATTTCCATTTCATTATTTTCAATTTCTTCTTCTCGTTTATGAGGTCTTTGATTATGACTCCATTGATTCCATGAAATTAAATATTCTTTATCATTATATTTATACCTCATTAGCTTATTTTGGCTTTCATATTCATTTAATAATTCACAATCTTCATTTTTAAATTGAAGTTTAACCCATTCAGGATTTAAACAATGTTTACTTAATCGCGGAATATCTGACATCATCTATATATAGCTTCTTTTATAAAAGATAAAAAAATAAATTATTTTAAAATTAATGTTAATTTTTTAATGATTTATAAATAAATATATTTTAATGCATCGTCTATATATAGATGTAACAAAAAAAAAAAAAAAAAAAAAAAAAGGTAGTGGGGCTTCCAGGCACTTCGTGCCTTCTAGCCCTGAAGATGTTTAGTATAAATGAAGTTCTTATAAACCGGAGAAAGTGTCATATAAACATCTGTCATTTTACTCAGAATTTTACTCAGAATTCAATAAAAATATATTTTAGGTGAAGAGGTTAGATCTAACCCGATATCTAACCTCTTTTCTAACCTCTTGAATTTTACTCAGAATTCGACAAAAATATATTTTAGGGTAGAAGGTTAGATCTAACCCGATATCTAACCTCTTTTCTAACCTCTTGAATTTTCATGAAATTTACACCAAAAATAATGTTTAGGGTAGAAGGTTAGATCTAACCCGATATCTAACCTCTTTTCTAACCTCTTGAATTTTCATGAAATTTACACCAAAAATAATGTTTAGGGTAGATGGTTAGATCTAACCTTCTACCCCATATGTCCTTACTGAAAAAGTATGTGTTCCATCTGTCAAAAACCGCTTTTTAACTTCACTTAAAATGCCACGTAAGCTACGTAAGAATATACGTAAGAGGAAGAGAGCATTGAAACATCCAATAGTAAAACTGACACCACAACAACAGTTGCAACAACAAATGATGAATGACCCCACTATGTTGCAACAAATGTCAAGCAACCCTATGCTTTTAAACCGAGTTATTGGTGCACAGAGTGGAGGTTTAAGAGCGGCACTTTTAGCGAAAATGGCAGGCTATGGTGGAGCTGCAGACGGAACAGCTTATAACCCTCAAGTCAAATGAATTTGAGTTCACTCAAAAATCAAATAACAGATGTCAAAAAGTCAAACATAGACATACAGAAACAAATAAGTGAAAACGAAAAGAAACTAGAATATGACGACACACAAAAAACTAAATGAGTTAAACGTAGAGAAAAAGAAGAAAGAAGAACAACTGAAAGAACTAAGTACAGAGGAATATGCGAAAAAAGTGTCAGAAAAAGCAGCAGAAGTAGCAAAAATGGAACAAGATGTTATAAATTTGAAAAACCATACTACTCAATATAAAACTACTGAAAGATGAAGAGATAAACAAAAAGCCCTGAAGACATATATGGATAGCGATGAGTATAAAAAAGAAGTTGAAGCAAATGTAAAGGCAGAAAAACTTTTACAGTTGCAAAACCAAACCGTACAGTATGAAAACTTAGCACAAGAAAGTAAAAATAACGACGCAGCCATGCAAAAGGCAATGAAAAGCGCAGAATATATAAAAGCTAATAATGACTGGTTAGATGCCCAAGCAACGCTAAAGCAGCCCAACTTATAGGTCAATAAGGACAAAAATACAAGCGGATGAAGACAGTTCAAATGAAGCTTTAATGAATGCTGACTTTAAGAATGCCTTCGAAGCTCTTCATAGTAAGGTGAAACTAGTGAACGACTTCTCATCTGGAAAGAAACTGAAGTCTGAAGGTTTCGACAAAGAGTTAAGAGAAGTAGCACAAAATATGACGAAAATAACAGATGCAGCAACGAGACAGGCAGTTCAAAGTGCCTATGACGCCGTTAGAGCAACTGTTGTGGAAAGTCAAGAAAAAGAGTTACAACAGACCAAAACAGACCTAGTAAATGCTTCTTAAGAACGAAAAGTCAGGTAGGACATTATGCTGCAGATGGAACATATGTGCCAGCTGGTGGAACTTATATACCAGCTGGTGGAACTTATATACTAGCTAGTGGAACTTATATACCACCAAACCCTCCAAGAGAAGCACCTGCACCAGGACTACCTAAAACATTTACATCGTCACATGGACACAGACACAGGCATGCACCAAAACCAACACAACAACCAACACAACAACCAACACAACAACCAACAGTTCGAAACCCTGCACAACAACAACAACCAGAGCAAGGACAACAACCAACACAACAACCAGCACAACAACCACCTCCACAACCAGCACAACAACCACCTCCACAACCAGCACAAACAGAGCAAGGACATAAAAGAAGTAGAGAACAAGGAAACCAAGAATTCTTAAAAATGCTTAAGGAAGGTTATGGTTACCCAGATACTCTTGACTTTAGTGACAGATATAAAGAAGCTATTAGAAAGTTCAAGGAAGGAAATACTGACCCGAACCTATTTAGCTTTATGGTTCAGCACCAAATGGGATATAATTTCAAACCTGGAAAATACAAGCTCGCTAAGGGATATGATTTAATAGCATATCATCCAAATGACATGGATGAATTTACTCCGAGATATTTGGTGTCAGAGATAAATGATAATTCAACTATCTTCATGAAACGCGTAAAAAATATAGACGGAACGAAAGAAGAAAGGTTATGAATGCGGATGACTTAATAGGGAACTTGTTAAAAACGGTCTCGGAATATATGAAATGCCACCAGATGAGGTACAAGAAACTCAACAGGAAGAAGTTCAGATACAACCAGACATGGAAGAAATAGTTCAGCAACAACAGCTAGAAGAGCCTGAAGGAAACGAACAAGTCCCTCCTTTGGAAACTAACTTCATAGAACTAGATGAAGATTTGGAACAGTCGAAAAATCTTGACCCTCAACAAGAGTATGCGGAGAATATGAAATCTTTCCAAGAGTCTAAGAAAAATTCGGCTGACATAGTAGAAGAATATCGAAAAATGTTCGCCGACATACAAAAGACTCCAAATCAGATGAAAATATTCAGCAAAGAATGGAAGAACTGAAAGAAATGTACGCAAATACAACAATCCTTTTTACTTACGAGCATATAACGTTCAATCTTTGGATGAACTCGGTGAAATAAAAGGTTAAATTTCAACAAAACATATAGAAATGAACATTGTTAAAGTTCATTCAGAACGTAACCAATATGGAAACAAACCTACTTTTGTTTCTGCAGACTATGGAACTACAATGAGATGGGGTCATAAAGCTAATCCGGATAGGTGGTTCATAAACTTACAACCACAATTCCAAGAAGTTGTAGACGCAATGGAAGTGAATGGTGAACCAGATATAGCTGGTATTTTCAGCGCGCTTTAATGCCATTGAAGATATGAAAGATGCAGATATTTTGAACCAGTATGAAATGAACATGGCTGATGGAAATATAACACCTGACGTTCTAGAACATTTATCTCAAAGAACTACACAGAACCATAGAGATGGTATATTTGGTGAAGAGTTTAGAAAGAGAGTTAGGGAGAGAGAAGGAAGAGAACCTATTGTACATGACCTTGCAAACGAAAGTTTGCAAAATGTCATAAAAACTTACTTTGCAAACAATGAATCGAGAAGGGATGAATATTTAAGAAAACTCAAATGGACAGTACCAAATGAAATGTTAGTATTGAAAAACATGTTCCTTGACAAAATAAAACCAACTACAGAAATAAATGACGCAAGACTGGAACATTGGGTAAAAGCTTTCCCATTCACAAAAGATATTATTGGTTACATGGAAAGAAAACCAGAATGGCTACAAAAACATATATTTGGAAACGAGCTTATTCCATATGGACAAGCTATATTTGAAGAGCTTGACCGGAAACTCAGGAAAGAGTCATGCAAACAATACGCGAAGACTCAAATACAAACTATGACAAAAATCTTTCTAGGATATAGGTTACCTGAGATGGGCGACCAGAGCCAAAGGCAAAAAGGACATGGGAAATTTACAACATACTAGGTGAACATGAGGCAAAGATGCAACAAAACTCAGTCAGGAAGAAAGTAAAGCTTGGTACGAATGGGTTCTATTATGACACATAAATCCAACTATTCTATATTTTTACCCATATGAAATGTACGCCGCTCAGAATATTACGCCAACAGTTTTGGATGCATGAACGGAAATGTTTCTGAATGGTATAACGAATGCGACAATGCCATTAGAAGGTCAGAAATAGTTCCTGGAACTTACGAATATACAACTGCTGTTTCTTATGGAAACGTAGGTGAGTTTGGTGAAGGTTCTTCAACAACAGTAATATTGCTTGCGACAGTTTCACATTATTTCTATTGACAACTCATTCTTATACGTGGAACAAGACATTGAAATAAAACCTTCTGCCAAGTTGTCTGACAAGAAAGGTTGCAATGGAATTTTCTATGTCGGATACCAATATGCTCCAGAGTTTTCATGGATATAAGATATATTCTAACTCTGACTTAGTTCAAACAGTAACATGGGCAAACTATGAATGGTTTGCTTTGAGAAACTCAGTACAACCACAAGCTAGAGAACAAACAGACCAGTATGCAACTATTGAGAAAATAAGAAGACTTGACCCTAACGTTCCAGGAGTTTATGTAACCTTTCTGAACAAACTGCAGCAGCAGTAACCAAAGTAAAACTGAAACTTAGAGTTCCTTTGTCATCTTTCCTCAATCTTCAGGTTTTTAAGATACTTGCCAAACTGGGCAGGAAAAATTCTATTGAACTTACTCCAAGCAAAAATAACTTAGTCATTGCACCAACACAAGACCCATTCAGCATTACTGTAACTGAACTGGTGGAGCCAAGTTCTGTGACTTTTGCAAGACAAAGTTGACTTAGACTTTGGTTTCTCAAACCTCAACACTGAAGTAAACTATTATTTCAATGCTGCTGGAACTGCTTGGACCCAGTTAAGTTCACATGCGAAAAATTTGAATGCAAGAGAATATAAAGCAGACTTGCCGTTTATATGTTGGACCCAGATTTTCAAATGCTTTAGCTGCCAAATATATTGCAGTTCCACTTATGTTCCCTATACACCAAATATCTGTCAAAGACTTTGCAGGTGAAGTTGGAAACCAAAGTGCTGACCCAGGTGCAAGAACAGATATTGCTTTAACAACTGCAATGAAACATGCAGATACTATTTGTACTGTTCAGACGAACTATAAATGACTATTCTTGTTTCTACAACCCTGGTATTAAATATCATATAACATAGATGGCAAATATTATCCAAGAGAAGAATATTCTACAGTTGAGGATATGAGGTCATACAACTTGACATTAGATGCTATGAACTTTAACAACAACTTCACAACAACCATTAACCCTGAAATGCAAAGTTCTATTATGCCATATGTGAAAGTATGGACTCATACAGGAGGTCAAAAAACTCAATATACAAATGGAGACCGTTCAAACTTTTGGCTTGGCATTCCATTTGCTGACTCAGAAGACTTTATGGGTGGTATTTCAACTGTTGGTACAGTTCAAATACAATATACTGGTGACAGAGACGGTCCAGATGAATTGAAAGCAAAGAGTTTACAAAACCAATAGCACTTTTCACGAAATGCTTTTGAAGATTCGTTCGATGAAACCTGCTGGGGCTCCTCAGATTGGTATAACGACAGCTTCCATCGAGCAGATTTTGGCAGCAGGTCAGTAAGTTGTTCTTGAACTGACTTTCTCCGTCAAATATTGACAGTACGCCAGTTTTGACATAATATTGTATTATAACTTTCCTTAGTAAATCGGTCAGTTTTGAAGTTATATTTTTGTCTGCTTCAAGAACTTTCACCATCTCGGTTATACCAACTTTCTTTGCTTTATGAAAATATTTTGGTTCAGCAAAGACTGCTATTCTATAAACATTTTCCATTGTTTGTGTAAAGAACTATTCTGTCAATGTATTTGTATTGTTTGTGTGTGTAAACTTTGTTTTGCTTCAATTCAAAGAGATATCCGAATAGTCCATCTTTTTATTCTAAGTAAAATGTCATGTCCGAAAAATAGAAGCGTAAGTGTTTCAAAAGGTTAATGGCGGTGGCAGATGTGAAGTTAAATTCACCAACTCAAACAAACAGTCAAGTGTTGTTGTCAATGTCAAAGACAGAGATGTTGAAGTGGGGAAACCATACGAAGACGAAGATGGTATAACAATTGTTCCTGTAAAAGAACCAACATATCCTGAAGTTAGCAGAGACTTAAGTTCTGTTGCAGATATTCGAAATGACTACCAAAACTGAAAGACAAACTAAAACTCAGGAGAAGATTTGTCAAGCTTTAAGTATATGTTAAACTTGGTCGAACACAACCCTGTAAAAGTGAACTCATATGTCATCGCACCTCATGAAGTTTTGAAAGAACTATTGAAACTTTGACAGAGGCAGACGATATAAACATCAAAGAAATAGAACCCGACATTAGTTGCTGTGGTGTTTCATATAATGTCATTGACAAGATATACGTTATGAAAGGAGGTGAAAC